GGATGGTTCCAGGGGGGGGCCCGTTTTATAGTAAATAAAGTCCTGATGTCGAGATATATTGTTATTAAGCTAGTAGCTATATTGTAATTATTATAACGAGAAAGCACAAGAACTCCGGGGAAGAAGTGAAGTTAGTAACATACATTAATGGGACATGAATGAGTGCAGAAAGAGAAAGAGAGGGAGAGGATGAGAGGGGCTCAGTGTCAGTTGACTACAAAAAGAGTTTGCAAGCTTTGATATCTGCCAAAGCGGATATTACTAAATACTGACAGTATAGGCTGCCCAAACTTTTGCCACAATGATGTTTTTATTTATGTCGAATTAATGATATGACTGTTTGCTGAAAATTTTATTTTTTATGTTCCATATCCCAGAGTGGCTGTGTTTACTTATTTTAAATTAAAACACCAAAATATGTTATTTGTCAAGGGGTGCTCAAACTTTTTCAAACATTTATACCGTATATAAATAACTTTATATATAGTTTTGTTTTGTTTAATGTTGTTTAAACTTAATTATCTGTTATGTTCTTTATGTTTGTAGCATGAAGGGACTGCAACTTTCTTTTGGTTGTTTACCTTCTGTTATATAATGACAAAATATATTGCCTTGTACCTAACATTGTTGCTGCAAATAAGGCAAAAGAGGAATGCTGGTAAGGACATAAACAAACATAATCCATTACGTAAACACAACCAATGAAAACAATCTATGTCAGGTAAATTGGGTTTAAAGATATCAAGGCAATGATGCATACAGTTTGCACTACTGTAAGTGCCCAGCTTCATTCTGTGACATTACTAACTTACGGCTCAACAAGTTTGCATATATGTAGACTATTCCCTCATCTGAGAATCTGTATTATTCATAGACAACGTCGCCAGGAAAATTATTTCATTTGAACATAACCACCTCTGGACAGGTTAGGTGAACAGCATCAAGTTATCATGTCAATCTAGCCAGTTTGAAAGAAAGCCACTTTGGTAACATTGAACACTCACCAGGCTAAGTAGGACTTGTCAGTTGTTTTTAAACACACAAAGTTGGAGTTTGAGAGAGAGGGCAGGTAGACAGTTAATTAAGTGAAGGAGCACAGTTAGCACAGTTAACAAAGCAGTGAATCAGAGTGATCTTTTTTACCAGGATATTAAGTGAAATTTATCAATAATTATACATAGTGTAAATCCTTAATAAAGTAGGATGTAACTATGCCCCCTCCTGCCCTGTGGTTTTTCTATCCTGCACATTGTAAATATCTTTCCTGTACAGTTTAGATCTTTCTATCTTTATCTTTATTTATTTATATTTTAAAAAGTGCTTTATTTTTGTGTGATTTTTATGCACCAACGCAAATTCCTTTACGTACGTGTAAAAACTTTGCAATAAACCTGATTCTGATGCAGAACAACACATCACTTTTTGTACATCTGAATCTGTGTCTACCCTGCAGCTCTGGAGAAAATGTCACTTAGCAATGGACCAGAGAATGGAGGAGCTACTGGGATTTCCAGTGAGACACCTTCAAGTGAAACACCGTCAAAGCCTACTGAGACTGACTGCTCCTCCTAGAGGCTCAGTTATTTGGAGAAAGTAACTAGAGCATTCGTGTGAAAATCTCTCTCAAAGAACTGAATCAGAGAATTCTATGACAAACCTAGGGACAACGGAAGGAAAATGAACAGAAAGTATGTTTTCCCTTTTTCCTCTTGGTGTTCTAGGGTGGTGGAAATTGAGGGTTTTTTCTGGGCATGTGGCAATGATTTGGGCTAAAAGTACACGTTTGATGAAGCCAGGTGTAAGATATGTAGAGGAGGGACTGAACAATGTGTGATTTCTCTGGGGATATTTTATACTAATGGGAATTGACAGGACAGTTGTATGTGAGAATGGCAAAAGGAACCTAGCTGTCATGGAGGCACAGTGACATCAGGAAGGAAGAGGTTGCTTATTGTTGAAAATGTCTTAGAGCTGCCGCTTTAGGAGAGACACTTGTAAAGTGTTATGCTCTTATTTGTATAGTTATCCATCTGGTCTTCACAACAGTATGACAAAACTATATAGTCCTACAGGGAACTTGGGAAAGACCAGGAAAACTCTTAATTCATATTTTATTAATTGTTTTACAAAAAACAATAACTAACAACTTTCTGTTAAATAGAATCTTGCCTGTTGTCAGCAATACACTTTCCAACATTTAAAACCTAAGCAGGGCAGATATGTATTAGGTTGAAATATGTATCTAAATATTTTACCTGCCACATGAATGAACATACGGAACACTGAAAAGCAAGAGAAACAATAGGCAGCATTTATTTGGTGATGTCAATGCGAACAGTATAAAAGTACTTAAAATGTACAACACTTTATGGATGGATAGAGAAAATATTTAGTATTTTGACACTTAATAAACCAACATTAATCTTATTAGCATTCTTTTTTTCTCTTATCCAGCATCCATCTTTAATATAAATATGTAAAAGATGGTAGTAAGTTACCCTCTGGGGTTGCATTGTTATGGATCCAACTGCTTTTTCTGTCAAAATTCAATACAAGCACCAGGATTGGTCAGGTGCCCATGCTGGCATGAGTGGGAGGAGTCTTCTGCCAGAAGAACTCTATTTTATCCCCCGTCTCCCAAGTTCATACCCTTAAATCATTCATCCACTCTTTGACAGGAGTGGCTGTGAAACAGATAACTGTCTTTCAAGGGAGTATAAAGGCACTTCCAAATCCCATCTGGAACTGCAGCCTACTTTCCTCTAACTTTTTAGGGCAAAACAGGTGTCCAGGGTGTCCTTGTCAAGTCATAAAGTCCTTAATTTAGCAGAAAAAAACAACCATATCTGGCTGTTTGTTTAATTTTTCCCTCCTCCAGATGTTTTTCAAGTGTAAATACTAAAAAGGCATGTTATAAAGTCTAAGGCTTTGAGGGTATTGTAATTGTTTCAGCTGTTACTTGTCATACTGATGTGTGACCTGAAAACCCTGTCCCGGTATTGTATCCTATTTATAAGGTGTTGACTGTAGGGTAGATGTTCTATTGACTCATTATCCTGCCATAAATTTTTAACCTTGTTGATCATTAACATATATTGGCATCTCACTGTATATTGAATATGGCTGGGCACAAGACAACACTTGTATTATCTAATTGAATACAATCATTCTTAACTGTGTATTGCTGTATACTGTACTTTTTATTGTTTTTCTTTTATTGTCACGTTCTATTGTATCATGTTTTTTTTTTGTAGGATCCCCTTACTGTATAATGCTGTAAAATACAACAAACTACTCTAAACTGGGTAGAGGCATCAATTCCTCTCTGCTCAGATATCACATTGGTGAGGTCTGTGTGAAAAATATTCAGTTGAATACATTATGAGCCCAGCGCTTCTGTCTGTTGTCACCACTGCTACAGTACCTGCCAAAAGAACATGTAACAGTAAGTGAAAAACTATTAACATGTATGACGTGCTCTTTATAGGTAATGAATCCAAGTTAAGCAATCTATTTTAGTCTAAATAAAAGTTTCCTTTTTTTGAATGTCTTCAGTGCTTTTGAAATTCATCTCTGAGTTTATGAAATAAATTCTAACTAGACGTTCAGACAAGTATAGTGTGGTCCAAGCACCCCCATGGATTTGGAGGTTTAATCGAGTTAGTTATAAAGTTATCTGAAAACATAGCTGAAAAGAGCTTTGAAAGACAATGTGACAAACATAGAAACAGAATTGGATGTCCTCAGACAGTGTTCCAGCCAAGTAAAATATGAATTAACAATATCAAATCAGTTCTTTTACTAAATTATTGTTTCAATCTGGAGTTAAATACAAGTACTGGAGTTCAATTCAATTCAATTCAATTTTATTGAATAACCAAGAAGTGATTGCACTAGACAACTTTGAACTCCTTCACAACTGACGACATGGGAAGCTGGAGTTATCTTGACCTAATGTAGAGCCCAATTGATGTAAAACCCGTGGGTATTCCCAGCCATCTATAAAGGTGCTTGTTAATCTTCCTCTCCACTCCTTTAACAGATGTTATAGGCACTTCATACATGGTGAGGAGCCACATAAGTCTTGGAAGCAGGGTATGTTGGTTATAACACTTATATTTCCCCATAACATATTTTTGATGTTTCTAATACATTATTGCATTTCAGAAACTATAATCTGTAATGATACACTGAGCAGTTCTTATAACTTATAGTTATAACTAGCTAAAGTTGGTCGTCATATTGTGCTGCCCAGGACTCGGGATTCTTTGGCATGGAGGTATAAAGCTTTATGAATGCTAAACTTTTAATGCAGTATGTCCATAACATATACTTTATAAACCTATTTAAGTTGTCATGCATGATTATAAACATTTATAAACTATCATACAAAGAGTTACCATCATTTCTTATCCAAAGGACATAGCCATCCAGTTGCTTATTAAATCCTTCACAGGTGAATATAACATGCCAATGACCAAAACCAAAACAGACCCTTTGGTGGTCATGGATGTTTATAGAACTAATATGTTACAAACCTGTTAAATCATGCAGACAAAAGAAAGTTTGATTTTGATTTTGTTTGTTTGATAGATTGTGCTTGATGTAAGCGATAATGCCAGACAAGGTTAATTCCTGATTATAGACACCTCAAAGGGTATTATCCCGCTTATACCATGGTCACTTGCATAAGAAAAAAAAAAAAAAGATAATTTATATTTTCATGCATTTCGCAATAAAAATTAAAAGTTTTCCATTTGCCTGGTAACATCTTCTTATGCAGTAGAATTACTCTACATAAGAACTACTAGTAAATAGGACAAATCTTGGACATGACTTGGCAATGAGATATTTCTAGTTCCCTCTATCATAGAGCCCTAAGCTGTGGTTATGCTAGCGAGGTTCAAAATCAATAACACGGCGTGCACACTTGACAAACAGTAGGTATAATTTACCTCACTGAGACTCACTCGCTTTCAATTTGTTTTATAGTTTCTGGTTCTACCAAAGAGCACTGATCAGGTGGTTAACAGCACACAGAACGGTTATTACTTGTTAAGACATGGTTCATTTCCTTATCATCTAATTATTTTTTGGGGCTTTTTATGCCTTATTTTATAGAGAGAGCTGAAGATGGACAGGAAAGGGATAGAGGGGTATCAAACCCGGGCCCCTGTGGTAAAGACTGAGCCTTGTTACATGAGGTGCATGCTCTAAATACAATTTGACGGCATGTTTAACGAGACTAGCCAGCTATGCAATGATCTCATTGTCCCCAAATCAGAAACAAAAAATCTAGATTTTCACAAACAAATGCCATGTGTACTGACGGCTGCAGCCTGAAGTAGCGAGTTGAATGGCAAATAGAATATGGGATAATTACTTATATTGAAGATTCAAGAAGTTTAGATGGACAGTATAGGGCCTTTGGTGTCCATCCTGCTTGTCATTAGATGAGGCACAGAAGGACTACACTCAACAGTGTTGTAAGATATATTTATAAGATATTAAGATAGTAATTCAGATGGATATTTATTTGTTTTCATTAAATTTATTTCAGCGCATTCATTTAGAATGGTGACAGCAGAACTACTTCCTCCTGTCCTTCATCAGAAATTAATGGACACCCTGCAGCTAATTAGAATCAAGTATTTACCCATGGTATAAAGTGGAATTAACATATTCTCTCACCTGCCTGGTTGCACAGAAATCTACCAAAAAGTACATGTTTTTGCTGTTTCAGTTTGCTCTTTCATCCTCTTTGGCTGTACCCAAGGGTAATTGAGAACCATAAGCATTTAAAAAGTGACAAACAGCACATTAATTTGGCATCATGTTGTGTATTTGTTGACTCTTAAAGCAGCTCCTGAAATGTTTGTTTGTGCCGGTATGCGAAAAAATGGCTGTGGCTCAGAGGGGCAGAGCGGGGTGGCGTCCCCCGAGTAGTCGGAATGTTGTTGGTTCGATCCCGCGGCCTCCTCCTGGCACGCTGTTCGAAGTATCCTTGGGACGCAAGATACTTGCAACCCCAAATTGCTCCTGATGGCATAGCATCAGCAGGTGGGTGGGAATGGTGGTATGAGATGAGTTTTAGCTTCTTTTTGATGGACTTGCCCATCACTGTGTGAATGCGTGTGATCAAGCGGTGAATGTGCAGCTGCCTGTGTAAAAGCGCTTTGAGTGGCGGGCAAGACTTAGGAAGGCGGCTATACACACGTACACGGTCCCATTTACCATTTCTCACCATGTGTAACCATTTTAGCGATCACCACAAGAGTCATTGAATTGAATTACCGTAGAACCCTCAACGGGCTGTATGTAGCTCAGGCTTTTATTTGCTTCAATCACTGGATTTAAACTGTCTGTATTTGGGACAAGCATCTATATAGGACAGGTGTTTAATTACTTTTGCACAAAACTGTTGCTCAGTAAAGATGGAAAATGGAGATGGAAAGATGCAAAATAATATCAAATAACTTAGTTACCAGGGTGTCCCAACATTATTAATTTATAAAAGTTTAGTGTAGAGTGCAGAAGTCTGATATGCACCTTTTAGGTGAGCTTTGGTGCAGTCCAATTGACTCCACAACAAATGTGAAGGCCATCTACGCTTTAAGTGGGAAGGCTCAACAACACTAGTCGACATGACGCATTAACATCATCCGTCATGATGTACAAATCACACCATGAGAGTGACACAAAACACTTCTCTAGAGAAAGCCAGCATTGTTATAGACCTTATAATTCTTAAATTTAATATAATTATGTGGACTATGAAGTATTGAGAAGTAAAAGAATTAAAGTACACATTGGGGTTAGTTTAGTGCCGTCACTGGGGGAAACAGATCACCCATATACTGAGCATAGCAGTCTGAGATGGTTTTCCTCAGCCCATCGATGTCTCTCCTCAGCTGGCTGACCTCTAGCAGTTTGAATCTCAACTCGTCTTCTACCTCCTCTCTGCAGTCACTCTCCTCCGCTGAAACACTCAATGCTGGACAGACAGAAAAGTAGAAAATGTTATCACTGGATAAGGGATACTATATAGTGAACCAGATTATAAGTACATAAATTCAGGAATGGAGAAGCAAGCCCCTTGTGTGAAGATAGGTCAAGAAAAATATTTAGTTGGTATACTTGTACTCACCTAACACTGTACTGATCTAAGTGTATGGCAACAACAGTTTGTGGTTTTGGTTGACATAGCATAGTTTGGTCTTAGTAATACTTTGGTTTGTTAGGAAAACTAGCAGCAGTAGGTCCCCATTGTGAATCTCGCTCATATGTGCTACTCTCGCGATATCACTCTCCATTGTTCATTTTAGAGAGTTGTCTCATTCTTAATCACTGAAATATGTGTTGCTTTGTATGTGTCTTATCTGTTGTCATGTTCTATTTTTGTGGACTGCAGGAAGAGAAACTGAACTTTTCATGACCGCTGTCTTTAACTGATATTAGTGTAGAAACCAGGGGAGATCAGAATTTTGTATGACTTGACTATGCAAATATATGATATACAAATACATTTGCAAGAAAAAGTATATGAACTCTTTGGAATTACGTGGATTTCTGCATAAATTTGTCCAAATTTGTTCTGATCTTCATCTAAGTCACAACAGACAAACACAGTCTGCTTAAACTAATACCACACAAACAATTATGTTTTCATGTTTTTATTGAACACACCTTGTAAACATTCACAGTTGCAGGGTGGAAAAAGTATGTCAACCCTTGGATTTAATAACTGGTTGACCCTCCTTTGGCAGCAATAACCTCAACCAAATGTTTCTTGTAGTTGCAGATCTGATCTGCACAACGGTCAGGAGGAATTTTGGACCATTCCCCTTTACAAAACCGTTTCAATTCAGCAATATTCTTGGGATGTCTGGTGTGAATCGCTCTCTTGAGGTCATGCCACAGCATCTCAATCAGGTTGAGGTCAGGACTCAGACACTGTTGATTTACTTCTGCGCTTTGGGTCGTTATCCTGTTGAGCTTCAATTAGTAGATAGATGGCCTTAAGTTCTCCTGCAAAATGTTTTGATAAACTTGGGAATTAATTCCACAATTTGTCTTACCGTGGACAGCTTTATGCATGTCAACAATTCTTAATCGTAGGTCTTCTAAGAGCTCTTTTGTGCGAGGCATGGTTCACATCAGGCAATGCTTCTTGAGAATAGCAAACTCAAAACTGGTGTGTTTTTTATAGGGCAGGGCAGCTTTAACCAACACCTCCAATCTCATCTTATTGATTGAAGCCATTAGCTTAGGGGTTCACATACTTTTTCCACCCTGCACTGTGAATGCTTGGATAGTACCATATTTTTTGTGCATTTATTCGAGTGTTTTAAACTGCATTTCTTCGCCTGTATGTGTAATTGCTTGAGTTTCTGACACAGGGAAAGGACTTGGCGTTTGTGGCAATTACTGTCTGCAGTCTGCATTAACTCAAGGGAAATAAGACTTTTGAGCATCTGTTGTCTTACATGCAGGGTCTCTGTGTGTGTATCTACGAGTGTGAAAAACAGGCAGAGAGAGCTTGTCTTTCTCGCACTCGCAGATATACACACAGAGAGACCTTTCCTATTATTATTATTATTATCATACATATAAAAACAAAGGCCAAAGGTAATCCAAATATTATGGTTGAGAGCCAAAAGAAAAACAGGAGCTCAGCAAAAGGCATCCATTCACAGCAGGTGTACCACTCAACTAACTCAAGACATATGAGGCACCGTCTGATGACGTTTCTCTCGTATCTAAGCAAAGGCATATTTCACAAGTTTGACGGTTCTGCAGTCAGTACTGGAAAAATAGGACATTCTATGATGCATTTTTGTTATCCCCAAATCAGGAGAGAGTTCTACCTCTCTGAGTGTGTGCTACGGCAAATTATCAACAGCTGAAATTGTGTTTTTTTTTTTGGCATACATTGTTAAATAGAGGGGCAATATGACTGGGAATGTAATCTAGGGTTGAGAAGGTGTTTTTAATTTCATCTTGACTTTAATACTGGATTTTGGTACCCAACCCTACATCTAATATTAAGGCATTTAGACAAGCCTAAAACTATAGTTGGGGCCCTCTTTTTCAATTTTACATCTGTATTCAACACAATTCAGTAACAGCACTTACTGGTGATTTAACTAGAGGTTAAATCTCCAATATTAGACACTGTGTGCTGATTTGATGTTTGTGTGAGTTTTCACATTCTATTATGGTCAGTAGTTTCTAGTTTTCCCCTCCCTGGTGTCCCTGTCTCTCTGTGTGTGTGTGGACTCCTCCCACTCTCCCTCACCTGTCTGACGGCTCAAAACTGCCAGCCATCAACTCATCAGTCCTGCTGTATATAAACCCTGGTTCTCCATCCACTCTGCCAGATCGTTGTCTCTACGTGCCTGGTAGTAACTTTCTTGGCCAGTTAGAGAAATTATTAAAATTAAGATACGTTTCCCCCCCCCTTTGTGCTGACAAACTAAACCTTGTTTTTTCCCTCAGGATCTTCACCTTCACTTCAGCTACCTGCCCCGTCCTTCCCTAATCAGCCAACACTGCCTCCACCTTCAGTTCCACTCTGCTGGCTCGTGCAATTGTCCTACTCACACTGACACGCAGAGCTTCACATCACCATTTCATCAGCGCGGCTTCGAATAATAAGCCATGTCTTGGTAAGTCATACCGCTAACAAGAGTTTGGTACTTGCTTGTGGGTTCCTCTGATTTAACATAACTACATGCGTTTGAGACTGTATTACAGTTTTGAGCCTACAACGTAGTAATAGATATCGGGCTATCACACCATTGACTCATAAGAGGGTCGTACAATCGTCATATCATCATCCGCTGCTTGTTGCTGTCCCGCTTTGCTCATGTCTGTCTTCTCCGTCTTATACCTCCTTTGAATCGAATGCATTCAGTTATACATTAACCTCTACTTACAAAAAAAGTACAAGTACGGTAACGCGGAATCAGAACTATTCAAATCCCTATTACGGACTCAAGAGCACCCAAGGTTGTGTGAGCTCACTTCTACTCTTCACGACCTTTATATAGACAGATGGTGCAAAACAACACTCTTGGGACAAGAACACATTTTGGCCAAAATATAATAAATACAAAGAATCTGTATTCTATACAAAGCAGATTCAAAACATTTTTGCGTTAAATGTAACTTAAGAGCAGATAACTTACCTACTGTACAACAACCTCATAAAAGAGTGTATGTGTGTGTAATGGTGTTCTATTCACATTTTCATGCCCCAGGAAGCCGGGACAGGTTACGGCTCTTTGCCTGTTGGCTCTTGAGCCAGGATCGCAGACGAGCCCTGGAGGTCAGATAGACAAAGGTACATCGTCTTTGAGCAGACCGACCCACTTCTGTATTCGCAGCATGGGATGAGGATGCACCAACAGCCCGTCAATCCACCTTGCCTCATTGGCAAACAAAGTGAGAAATTTTAGTTTCTAGTGACTATGACGCAGCCGCACACGCGCATGCTCTCAGCATCAATCTTAGGGAATATACCAATCAACACTCACTTTTCACACAGATACAGAACTTCTGTGTTGGCTACATACAGTGCTTAATTTTCTTTTCAGTTAAAAAAACCTCATTATATAGCAGGCTGTTGAGGTCCAGTGTTTAACGGTTTAGTTCCATAAATGGTAATTGCTTGATTGCTCCATTAAAGTTATTTGTATAGCGCCAATTCATAACAGAATTATCTCAGGACACTTTTCAAATAGAGCAGGATAGACGAACTCCTTTTAACAATTAACAGAGACCAAAACAGTACCCACGCATGAGCAAGCAAATGGCGACGGGGCATGAAAAACTGCCTGGTTCAAAAGGCAAAACTAGACAACCCTTCGACTCCTAGTCGGTGGTCATCTGCCTGACCAAGGAGAGAGAGAGAGAGAAGAGTGAGAGAGAAACGACAGAGAAAGACAAGGACAACAACTGACACCAATACAGGCTAATGAACATGAAAGAGATACGAGACAAGCAGGACGCGCAGCAGCGACAACAGCCACAACAGTATCTGTAGAAATAAATATGCTTAATAATAATAATAAACTAACAATAATATTCGATCCCTCTCTGCGACATTAGCAAGGCATCAAGCAGGACCATCGCGGCAGCGCCCCAGGCTGACCACGCCGGATCCACTTCGAAGACAGCCCGAAGAAGAACGGTGCACCAAGATCACGCGCCTCCAGCGACAGATAATGCGAACTCGAGGCCCACGTCTCGTCAATGGGAAACGAGCTACCGAGCGTGGACCGTGGCTCACCTGAGTGCCAGCCCTAACTATAAGCTTTATCGAAAGCAGGATGTCTTACTACTCTTTAAGATCTCACAGGGCGTCGCTCCCCGAACCACAACTGGCCGCTCGTCCACAGAGAGACGCTTGTAGCTGAATCTCCGCTCCTGTTCTACGTTTTAGAAGCACTTCACTGAGGAACCACCAAGTGCCACGGTCCTGCCATTTCAGCGCGCGCGCGAACCCATGTTCGTAGAGGCGGTCAATACGGTACTAGTGAGCTTCTCGCGCAGATAATGACACGGCTGGGCCGTGACCACCTGAGAGCGCTATAGGTAGGAGAGATTTAAAGTTCATTCTACAGATTCCTTACCAGGGAGCCAATGCAGAGAAGCGTAGACGAGGAGAGATTTTCTACCTAGTCCTGTCAAATACCTTCTGCGCAAGCGTTTTCGAATTCACATTGAGCAAATCCTAACATGGCGCTATTAAAGCCAGACCTGTTAATAAAGAGTTCAAGTAACGCCAGCCAGAATAACAAATCATGGATCAGTCTTCCGCATCCTGTCTGTGCATAGGATCGTGTCCTGATTTGCAATGCACAAATGAAAGAGATGCAGTCCTAAGGTCTGCTTTATTAGAATTAAATGACAAATCCTGAATCAAAGCATCAACTCCACAAGATTCCTGATATGTTCTAGAGGCCAACGTTAAACTGCCCAATCTAGATAGCTATATTTGATGGGAGCTCTAGAGTTATTGGGCCAAAGTACAAGAATTTCGTTTTTTTAACATCAAGAAAATGCACCTCAACCCAGGATTCTTATGTCCCTGTAAGACCATGTTTGTACATGCAGATGATCATAATGTTCATTCGGCTTGATCAAGTAGATAATAGGACTGCGTATCAATCCTGCCTAACAGACGAAATTCATGCGAGTGATATTCATTAATAATGCTCCTACGCAAGGAGCATATAGACAGTAATACGTACTTGTCCAAGTACCAGAACCTTGCGCTGACACTCCCAATGACTAACGTACTCGTATTTATCTGAAGATGGTCATAAACATGTACAAACTCGTGCCAACACTGATAGACACGGGCCTACAACCAGCGTTACGTGCGTTCCTTTATCTGCCAAGTTTGATGCCAAGCTCCGCACAAAGAATATTACCTGCGTCAGACGGGTGTACTCTGATCCTTGCTCTCTCTCACCTCCTGTTCCAAAAAAAGCTCGTACATCGGTAACCAGGACATGGGGACACTGACAT